TGTAGTAAACAGGAAGTAGAAGGCGCAAACTCTTAAGTCCATCCGACCAATCACAAACAACCCACACTCAAAAACCTCCCATTGTGAGGATGTGTGTTCTGTTGTCCTGTGTTCTACCTCCCTCTTGTGTTCCATCATTGTCATTACGCCTCTTTTCCCTCAGTTGTTTACCTGTCATTTCATCCTGTCACACACACCTGTCAGTAGTTTCTAATCAGTGTTTTCATCAGCTGTGAGCCCGACAGAGGACGGAGGGGCAGGGAGGCTGTTGCCGTGGAGCGCTTCAAGAGCTGAACTGCGTCTGACCTCAAAGTATACAACCAACCAACTTCAGCGTTGGCTGCGATTTTGAAGCTGAAATCGCGTTCGGTGTGAACGCACCATTATTCTGGTTCAGTCCTCCACACCCTCGCTGGTTCGTTGTTTGACTTTGTTCAACTGTTCGGTTTTCCTTGTTGTTTCTTCGTGTCTTTAGATGTTTTTGTTAGTTGCTGCCTCGTCAGCATTTTTGTTTTATTTTTATAATAAACATCCTTAATTTTGAAACTTTTACCTCCGTCCGGATCTGGGTTCATTCCTCCTGCATAACCATAACACCCACTTATTTACTGCAGAGACCCCCTTCTCGGAGTTTCACTAAACTCTAGATTAACTTTACCCACTTTCTGGAATGCCCCCACCTGATGCAGCTAACTGATTAACTTGATTTGTTAATATATTCAGACAAAAAAAAGTTACACGTAAACATACATCAATATGAATTTCATTGCTTTAAGGATTAAAGCATCTTACAAATAAAGAAAAATAGGTGATGTTTCCTGCCTCAAAGCAAAAAACAAAAAGGAATTCCTTCACATCAATCAGTTCAACAAGCAGCCCTTAATGGAGAGATTTTTAACAGCAGAAAACCAAATTTATCCACATCCAAAAGCTTATTTGTGTATACCATTAAATGTAAAWCTCATTAGAAAATGTGGGCCATTTTAGTGGAGGAGATTCATTCTCAGCTAAAGTTATGAAAGTAGAAAAGTAATTAAACTTACAGTTTAATGAAACAACAAACCATACATAGAGTCACTAGAGATTGCACATAAATTACTTCAATTAATCACATGCACATTGATTCAGATGATAACTCTAAATCACACCATTCTGAATATTTCTTTATTTCCTGGTATTTATTTTGTCTTTGCTTGAACGTGTGTGTGTGCGCACGTGTGTTTGAGTGTGTGTTTTGTGACCGAAGGGGATGTGCTGAAGAAGGGCCAAAGGTCCGTTGGACCCCAGAGAACAGACAGGACCAGAGTCACGTCTCTAACTCTCCCTCCCATCCCGCCTCCTTCACCCTGTGCTGTCACGGGATGTCTCCGAGGGTGACGGTTTCCCTGGCAACTACAGCCCGGTCAGGAGGCTGCATTGTGTGTTCAGACGGTGGTGAAGCAGAACGGTTTGCTGAAGGTGGTGAGGCAGGGGAACACAAAATATAAGAGTCTGGTGAGGAAACAGGCACAGGCAACGTGAACAAGCTTTAACTGTCGGTTATCACTTGGCTTTCTTTCCTTGTCTTTCTAATCAACGCTGATTGAAGCAGCCAGATGACCTTTTGTTTGCTTCTGTGAGACTGGTAAAATACAGACTGATGCCAAAGTGTGAATTCCTCCTGACGTAAGCCATGTTCAACGCATCAAATAGTCAGATCTGAGAAGCTGATGCACCAGAAATAAAAATCTGGTTCCTGCTGTGCCACACAGTGGAAGTCAGACCTCAGCACACTTTTCCCCACATCTGAGTTTTTCAAATTGATATATTATTCAGAAAACCGTTTATTGACTTGGATTTGAATACAGAGCCGCTTAGATTGCAATAGGGGTTTCAAATGTAAATACCACAGTGTCATATTGGGCCCTCCACCTTTGACTGACACCTCTTTTGACCAACTGGGTCAATCTTTGGTCTTTCCAGAGCCAATAATATCTGCAGAAACTTACCACAAAAAGTAAAGAAATTGGTGTTTGATAGATTATTTCTTTGTTGTAACAAACCTTTTTGGTAATAAATCATATAGCAGCACCTGGGGGTACCAGAAGCTCAAAACAAAAGTCACTAACAGTAAACTAAGCTGTTTGGCAGAGAGGATCTGGCAAACGTTTCATGTGCAGAACCCACATACCCAGCTCCCCATATAGGGTACTGCTCATCCCACAAATGCATGTTCCTTACAAAAGTGGCACCATTTAAAAGAAAAATGAACAGACTTTCCCACTGTATGAATTGTATTGCCAAGAAGCATTGTTACACCAAAGAAATATTCTACTAAACACATATTTTCTTACTTTTTGTGCTGAGTTKAGTTAAAATCATTTTGACTTTTGGGGGAATGCTTTTTAAATATTTGGGGGGTGGAGGGCTGGTAAAGGGTTAATAGGCCAGTTAAAATAAAACTTACCCCTGCTGCATTCACAAGTCCACCCTCAAAGGTAACTCTGTCAGGGCGCCACCTGCTGTCTCTCAGGGTGTACAAACCCTCCAGGCTGCCAACCTGCAGGGAGGAAAATGCAGAATGCTGCTGGATTACCCTCAAAACTTACAGGACAAACAATGGCAACATTTAAAAGGTGAAGGCGGGCAATTTGTGTTTTTGCATCTGTTAGAAATATATCTCATGAACCACTCAATGTATTTTAATAAAGCTTGCAGAAAGTAATCACTGAATGAACATTTGCAACAAATTAACTTTTGAAGTCAACCGCCTTTAAAAAAATACAATATAATATTGCTGTTCTGCAATACTGCCATATTACTGCTACATGTGCAAACTGTATTCTGTATTAGTATTATTATTGCCTGCACACACATTCACTTTCTAACAAATAATCATGTTGCATAGTATGAATATGTAGACTTCTGCTTTTTCATTTATTTAGCAGGTCGGTTCACACACAGTTTAACTGGACATATGCATCACAGCTGAACATGTTTTACACTATCATTATCTACTAACTCTCCATTTTTTGCAGCCCGTTGCTGTCAGTTTGTTCTGTGATGTGTGTGAGTCTTCATCAACCAAACACCATGATTCACTTTTGGAGTCAGTCCAATCAAAGATAGAATGAGGCTGCATAACAACATTGCTTTTTAAAGTTTGATCAAAATCACTACAACTCAACATAGATCTCAGTCAAACTCTGGCCTTGACTACTTTATTTTATTTTATTTTTCTTAAGGCTTTGAATACTTTAAAGTTGGGGTATTGTGCATTTTACAGGCTCATAGTTTGATTCTGTACCCCAACGAAGTAGCTATGTAACCTTCAGTTGTTATGAAAATGCTGTTTATATCAAAAATAAAATTGACTTTGCATCTAAACCCCTTGAAATTAGCCTCTGTCCCCGGACCTCCTACCCTTTCTGACACTCCCACTTCAGCATATCTTCAACAACAATGCTTCATGAAGTTTACAAGCTTTCATAGGAATGTTGCATTTTGTTGTAAAAAAACGAAGAAGAAGCAACATTATATCATTTGAAAAATAGCACCTCAGGATACAGTTGAACCCTACTTGAATTATCCCACGTTGGACCTGGTAAGTAAGTTTTCTGAGAAACTGGAGCGAGTAGAGAGGCTCTTACAAGGCGTAACATATTGCACAGTCATCCATGGCAAGTAAACTATAAATATAGATCATTACAAATGAACTCATGAACATCCACCATTATTAAGATGCGCTTTGCTAGTCTGGTGGAGCTGTGGGACCCCATCTGGAACACTGGAAAGAGGGGTCATCTGTGGGGTGGGAGGAGCTTTGGGTAAATAGGCGGAGCTTTGCATGAGCAAGAGTTTAGGCAGCTCCAAATGACTACAATCTGGGTATGAGGAAATAATATTATAACATGATTTTGGCAGACCAAACCAAAAAAGTTGATTTTGCGTTACCACCCCCCCACCCCATCCCCCACCACACACACACACACACCACCACCACCACCACCTTTTAAGAAATGGTAGGCCTTAAATAATTGGAGTATCTGTTAAAAAGCCTTAAATGTGAAATTACTATGAGAAAAATGTAAAAAGAAGGAAAATGATGCATTTGAGTTCAACAATACAGAGACACCAGTGGAGGGACAGTGCAAGAGTCAAAACACAAAACATATACTCAACCATAATCACCTGTGTGACTCCTCTGCCTGATTACACTGCATCCCCTTCAGCCATCTGTCTTGTGTGGGTTTTTCTGAGCGAGGTGGGCTAAAATCAAATAGCACAGAGTTTATCTAACCTTATCCAAGGCTTTTCATTTCCAAGCCTTATAAACTCAATCGCATTGACCGCCTGGGAGAGTTAGAACTAACTAAGTGAAATCTACTCGGCAGCAATTGTGTGCCAGGCGCATGATGTGTATCTGTGTGTGTTTGTAAGAGTGTGTGTGAGTGTGGCTTGCTGATTCTATCTTCCTTCACTTTCATTCTCTCTATTCTCTGTCCCTGAGGTGCATCAGGGCTGAGACTGCCGAGTAAATTGTCCCAAATTGAGTTCCTTCTTGCCGGCAGATACAGGCCACATCCCGACCGTTTAGAACGAGGCAGAGAAAGAGGAGGAAGGAGAAAGAGAGAAAACAATCACAGTACACATCACTCGCTTGAAAAATTTCTATCTAATTTCTCTCCCTGGCTCTCTTTCCATCCACCCTCTCTGCCTCGCCTCCTTCTTCTTCTCTGCAGTGCTGATTTTCCTGCTGCCTTCCTGTCTTCTTCTCGCAGCACATTATTCCTCCCTCTCTCCGTCTTTATTTCTCTCTCTCTCTCTCTGCGTCTCCTTGTCTTTGTCCGCTGCGACACATGTACATCAGTCTTTCCTCGCACCGCTCGGCTTTTTCTTCCCTTTGATGATTTGTTCACCTCTTGCTCGCTGCTCTTATTTTATCTTTTCTTTTTGTGTGCCCCCCTCCCCCCATACCAACAAGAATGCCCTTCCCTCACCCCGCCCTTTTCTTGCCTCACTTTCAATTCCTTCTTTGGGCTCTCATTCCTCCTCTCTGTACCCGGTGACTTAGTACCCATCAGCAGAGACGTCCTRGGTGGAGGAGTCTGGCTCTGACAATAATCACACACCAAGTTTATAACAGTGGCAGCCCAGCTGAGCTGAGCTGAACTAAGCACACATGACTCCCCTGATGCCAGCACACTCCATTTAACTCGGCAGGGGGGCTGCAGGCTGGCTGGGGTGGGAATGAAGCATGAGACAGAGATGGGAATGCCGGCGTGCATGTGCATGTGTGTGCGTGTGTGGTTGGGGGTACTTGGGGGTCTTATGATGGAGCAGGGACTGAAGGCAGGTATGAAAATAGGATGAGGATGAATGGTTGAAGCTGAAACTGGTGCTGGAGGGGTCGCAGAGCGGCTGAGGTTTCCAGAGTTCCAGATGGAGCCAGAACTTCTTTTTACATTCTGTTCTTGGTCAAATCAAAATGTCTTTGATTTTTCATGTTCTTTGTTTGTGTGTGTGTGTGTGTGTGTGTGTGTGTGTGTGTGTGTGTGTGTGTGTGTGTGT